CTTGAACCCTGGGCCTGTGCGCTGTCCCTCAGCTCTTCAGCTCAAGGCTAGCACTCTACCACTTGAGCTACAGCACCACTTCTGGTTTTCTGGTGGTTTATTGGAGATAAGAGTTTCAGGGACAGGAGCTGGGAAGGTGGCTCAGTGGTAGAGTGCTTGCCTTGCATGCATGAGATCCTGGGTTCAATTCCTCAGCACCACATAAGCAAAAAGAAAAAAGCCGGAAGTGGCGCTGTGGCTCAAGTGGTAGAGCGCTAGCCTTGAGGGACAGTGCCCAGGCCCAGAGTTCAGGCCCCACGACTGGACATTCCTCCCCCCCCCCCCCCAAAAAAAAAAAAAAAAAAAAGAGTTTCAAGGATGGAGTGGGAAGGTGGCTCAGTGGTAGAGCGCTTGCCTTGCATACATGAGGGCCTGGGTTCGATTCCTCAGCACCACATAAGCAGAAAAAGCCGGAAGTGGCACTGTGGCTCCAGTGGTAGAGTTTCACAGACTTTCTTGCCTGGGCTGGCTTTGAACTGTGATCCTCAGATCTCAGCCTCCTGAGTAACTAGGATTACAGGTGTGAGCCACCGGTGCTTGGCTCTAAACAATTTTTTAAGATTTCACTGTTTTTTGTGTGTGTGTGTGTGTGTGTGTGTGTGTGTGTGTGTGGTTCTAAGGGTCTTGTACTCTTCTACTGAACCCCAGATTTCAGCTTTTTTTTTTTTTTTTTTGGCCAGGTCACTGTCTGAGCTTCTTTTGCTCAAGGGTAGCACTCTACCACTTGAACCACAGTGCCACTTCTGGCCTTTTCTGTTTGTGTGTTACTGAAGAATTGAACCCAACGCTTCATGCATGCTAGGCACACACTCTACCACCATGCCACATTCCCAGCCCCCAGATTTCAGCTTTTTATTGAATGTGACGCAAAAGAGGATTAGTCAAAAAGACCAAAGCCCATGTTATTATTACACTCCTTAGATTCTTCTTTCTTTCTTCTCAAGAGGTCAGAGCCTCCTGCTGGCCTAGTGGCAGGCCAACTACAAGAGCAGATCCAACAGCCCCTTCACAGTTGATGAGGTTCTCAATGTTATTGGCCAGTATCAAAAGGCTCAAAATTTATACCAGCTGCTTTAATAAGGGTATCACTCTTATTTTCCATGCAGAGTACCTGATTCTGGAGAATGAGAAGAGTAGATGTAAGTGACCTTAGAGATGAGTCTGTGTTTTGTACAAATGTGGGACTGTGCTGATGGCAATGGTGCCAGTTTCAGACGACTAAAGGCTTCGCCCCAGTGTGGCCTTAGCTTCATCAGAAGCTTGAAGAAAGAGGCAGTGAATTTATTTATTGTGTTGAAAAGGTTTAGTGCCACTGCCTTTGAGAAATTAGATATTTGATGTTTTATAATTGAGATTACTTTTGAGTATATATCTCAGCTATTTCTTTTTTTTTTTTTTTTTTTGTCGGCCGTGGGGCTTGAACTCTGGGCCTGGGCGCTGTCCCTCAGCTCTTCAGCTCAAGGCAAGCGCTCTACCACTTGAGCTACAGCGCCACTTCCGGTTTTCTGGTGGTTTATTGGAGATCAGAGTCTCACGGTCTCTCCTGCCTGGGCTGGCTTTGAACCGCGATCCTCAGATCTCAGCCTCCTGAGTAGCTAGGATTACAGGCGTGAGCCACCAGCGCCCGGCTTTATCTCAGCTATTTCAACGTAAAAAAATTATTTTTTTTTTATGTGCTACCAAAGAATCAAACCCAGGCCTCTTGCTTGGTAGCCAAGCATCCTATCACTAAGCCACATTCGCAGCCCCAGCTATTTCAACTTTAAGAAAAACACCTTTATTCTAGAATATATAAATTGGTTCTCAATAGAAGACTGAGCATACTTTATGACACTTTTAATTTATTCCTCCCTCTGTTGGCTTTCAGAAGTACTGCATTCCTTTTGGACCTGTGTTAAGAAAAACTTTATGCTTATTTTCATTCAACTAAAATATTAGTAATGCTACAAATATGCTTATGAAATAGATTATATATAGGAAAGTTTTAAATTAATAAATGTTCCAGTGCCTGTTTTTCATGATTGTATTAAGGAAATTATCAGCAATTGAGAACAAAGTTACGAAGAACAAAATCTAGATATATACACTGTTTGTGTTCACATTAAACAAAAAGTAGATTTGTCATGTTAGTTCAGTGAATGGATTTTTTTTCAGGTATTTTCTAATTTCTGTCTACCATAGATTGAACTGTTAGATAACTTGGTCAAGACAACTAATAGAGGTGCTATATTGCAGCTCACCAGTCTACCAATGAATTAATGCTTGTGTCTGTGTCTTGAGGGACATCATGGTCCTTGCCTTCTGTAATATCACAGGTAGAGGGAGAGAATTTGATTTGCCTTGCACATACTTAGCATTGTCTTAAAATCATAAGCTTAGTTGAGTGCCAGTGGCTCATGCCTGTAATCCTACCTACTCAGAAGGCTCAGATCTGAGGATTGTGGTTCAAAGCCAGCCCTGGCAGGAGACTCTGTGAGACTCTGATCTCCAGTTAACCACCGGAAAACTGGAAGTGGTGCTGTGGCTCAAGTGGTAAGTGCTAGCCTTGAGCTGAGGCCCAGAGACCAGGCGCAGAGTAGGCTTATAAAGTTTGTACTGTTAAGATCACAAACTTGTGGTTAAAGATTATGTTCTGTTCTCATGATTGGAGTTACATCTCTCATAGTTAAGGTTAGGATGTCAGGTTCTAAATTCAGCATATAAAGTGCAAAATGTGCCGGGCGCTGGTGGCTCACGCCTGTAATCCTAGCTACTCAGGAGGCTGAGATCTGAGGATCGCGGTTCAAAGCCAGCCCGGGCAGGAGAGACTGTGAGACTCCTATCTCCAATAAACCACCAGAAAACCGGAAGTGGCGCTGTAGCTCAAGTGGTAGAGCGCTCGCCTTGAGCTGAAGAGCTGAGGAACAGCGCCCAGGCCCAGAGTTCAAGCCCCACGACCGACAAAAAAAAAAAAAAGGTGCAAAATGTGTATCAGATTTTTTTCTAAAGAGTTTTTCATAAAGCAGACTTTTCTGTATTGATAAAGTACTTGAACTGTGCTTTACTGGCTATTATGAAACACCATCTGCTCGGTGAGAGGGATATAGGAACTAGGAAAGACTAAACAGCAAAGTTTTTTTTCCTTGTTGTTTTTGGTTTTGCTCAAGGCTAGAGTTCTGCTACTTGAGCCATAGATCCACTTCCGTTTTTTTTTTTTTTTTTTTGGTGGTTAGTTGGAGATAAGAGTCTCATATCTCACAGACTTTCCTACCTAGGCTGGCTTCAAACCATGATCTTGAGATCTCAACCTAGTGAGTAGCTATAGTATTACAGGTATGAGCCACTGGTGCCTGCCTGTCTTTTCTCTGAGATAGATTTAAATAGCTCAGGGTGACTTTGAACTCAGGATACTCCTGCTTCAGCCACCCAAGTACTAGGATTACAGGCTTGTGCCACCAACATCTCACTGGTCTTTCTCTTAATTTCCTTGTTTAGCAGCTGCTTTTTAGGGAACAACAGATTTGATCCATATAATTATTGCGATTTTTTTTTTTGGGGGGGGGGAGGGGTTGGTTGTGAGGCCTGTACTCTGGGCCTGGGTGCTGTCCTTCAGCTCTTCAGCTCAAGGCTAGTAGTGCTCTACCACTTGAGCCACAGTGCCACTTCTGGCTTTTTCTGGTTATGAGGTGCTGAGGTGTCGAACTCAGGGCCTCATGCATGCAAGGCAAAGCACTCTACCACTGAGCCACCTTCCCAGCCCACCTGTAGTCTTTTTATATTCTTTTTTTAAAGTTTTTATTTTTAAATTGTTATTAAAAAGGTAATATAAGAGAGGTAACATAAGTCAGGTAACGAGTATATTTCCTTTTAGACAATGTCACCCTTGTTGACTAGATTCTTTTTTTTTTTTTTTTAATGTGAGAGGAATATTTTAGAGTATTAAGAACCAAGACTTCACATCCTCAAAAGTTTCACAAAACCAGGGTATAAAACCTCTACCCCTGGGAGCTGGGAAGGTGGCTCAGTGGTAGAGTGCTTGCCTTGCAAGCATGAGGCCCTGGGTTCGATTCCTCAGCACCACATAAGCAAAAAGAAAAAAAGCCGGAAGTGGCGCTGTGGCTCAAGTGGTAGAGCGCTAGCCTTGAGCTGAAGAGCTGAGGGACAGCGCCCAGGCCCAGAGTTCAGGCCCCACCACCGTACCCAAAAAACCCCACAAAAAACAAACAAACAAATAACCTCTACCCTTGCAGTCTTTCCTCAGGCAAATGAAATACTATTATACTCTGGCAGGGTTGGAAAGTAGGGTTGTAATGATTAATTTACTCCTATCCACTGATTTCTGATTTTTTCCCATTGGCTTTCTCTTTGAGGCATTCTTTTAATTTGTATTAAAATCAAGCATACATCTTAACTAAAATAATGTTTTTGGAGATTCCTTTCTTGAGTACTTTATTTAAAATAGTCTTTATTTTTACTGGTACTGAAGATTGAACCCCAAAGCCTTTTTTGTCCAAAACAAGTGCTCTTCTGCTTAGCTACCTCTTTAGCTCTGTTTTAAGTTGTAAACTTCAAAATCTTTAACTTGGTTACTTGCTGGGTTTGCAAGTTTAGTAAAAGAAAAATAATATTGTGCCAGTTTTGATAGTGAAGTCTGCTAAGATTTGATAAATCCTTTGAATTTGTAGAGTCTCTTCTCCTCTCCCCTACCAAGTCCTGGGGCTTGAACTCAGGGCCAGAGACGGTCCCTGAGCTTCTTTTGCTCAAGGCTAGCATGCTACCACTTTAGCCACAGCTCTACTTCTGGCTTTTTCTGCTTATGTGTTAATGAGGCATCAGACTCAGGGCTTCATGCATGCTAGCCAAGCACCCAACCACTAAGCCACATAGCAGTAACCTTTGTCACTCCCTTAGAAAAGTTGGTCTGTTGTGTTAATTAAATAATCTTCCATTTCTGTTCATTGATCTCATGTGTTTTCATACAGGATTCCAGTTGCATCCTTGATACCGTTTCCTAGACTCTGCTCCATGATTTAATGTGAAATTCTGAAATGAAGATGGAGGAGGCAGTGGGAAAAGTTGAAGAACTCATTGAGTCTGAAGTCCCACCAAAAACCTCTGAACAAGAGACAGTCAAGGAAGAAGATGGATCTGTAGAACTGGAATCCCAAGTTCAGAAAGATGGTGTAGCAGATTCTACAGTTCTTTCTTCAATGCCCTGCTTGTTGATGGAACTGAGAAGGGACTCTTCTGAGTCTCAGTTAGCATCCACAGAGAGCGACAAGCCGACAACTGGCCGAGTCTATGAGAGTGACTCCTCTAATCATTGCATGCTTTCCCCTTCCTCTAGTGGTCACCTTGCTGATTCAGATACTTTGTCTTCTGCAGAAGAGAATGAACCCTCCCAAACAGAAACAGCAGTAGAAGGAGACCCTTCAGGAGTATCTGGTGCCACAGTTGGGCGCAAGTCTAGGCGGTCCCGTTCTGAAAGTGAAACATCTACTATGGCTGCTAAGAAAAATCGGCAATCCAGCGATAAACAGAATGGCCGAGTTGCCAAAGTTAAAGGTCATCGGAGCCAAAAGCACAAGGAGAGGATCAGACTACTGAGGCAAAAGCGGGAGGCTGCTGCAAGGAAGAAGTACAATCTGCTACAGGACAGTAGTACCAGTGATAGTGACCTGACTTGTGACTCAAGCACAAGCTCATCAGATGATGATGAAGAGGTTTCAGGGAGCAGCAAGACAATCACTGCAGAGATACCAGGTAGAGGATGTTTTTTAAACTGACTGTAAAGCATCGGATAGCATTTCTCAGCTGTCAGGTTCAGTTAGATGAGTGACACTTGGAAAAAAATCCAGGAGACCTGCAGCTCTGTATATAAATTTGAAGACTGCAGTCTATAAACTAGACACGAATAATTCAAAACAAAAAATAAAATGTGTTCTAAAGTTTCCAGTGCACTTTAGCACATCAGCAAAAAACAAAAACAACAACACAAAAAACAAAAAGCAAATAAAATAAGTGGTTAATAATAGGGGCAGTATTATTTTTAAGTAATGGAATTTCTCACAAGTCTCTTTTCTTTGTAACATTTTCTGAACTTCCCGTATATTGCCTTTGTAGCACTGCTTAAATTTAATATTTACTGTTCAGCATTACTATTAAGTATGTTTTCCTCAGGAATAGGCACCTTGCTTTATCATATGGCCTCTGCACTTGAGCTTCTGGTGTCTGAAATAACACTTTCTATCTTTTATTAAAGCTTCCTAATAATTATTCTTCTTAAAACAGTTGAGTTTCCCACACAATTCAATGAATGATAAGATAGTTACCATTATTGCACATTTTTTAATCCTAAATTGTTACATGGGAAAGAATTCCCCCCCCAAAGTTCTTCTTTATGTCCCCTAAGCTTTAGAATTGTCTGAAATTTGCTTGTTCTAGCTCTCACTGGTATGAGAATAGTGTATTTATTAGATGTCGGGTATACCTGCTTTCCCCTTAATATTACATCTGACACTGTAATACTGCAAAGGCAGTCTTCAGATTCATAGCAGAAGAAAAGTGGCTCTTAAGTGGTGAGGTCTCATTATTGAAGACATGATGAGGAAGGTTTTGCAAACCACCTGATGTTTAATAGATTATGACAACATTGTATATTGCTGTATTAAAGAGGAGGAAGTTTTTGGTTTTCTAAATTTTTATAGCTCACTATCGTCTTTCCTCTCCCCTAGTTTTCTGAAAATTTCTGTTTCTACACATAAAACAGCATATTGCTGATATAACAAGATAATTTGAGACAAATCATATTGGTTAATTAAACCAAATGAAGAAAAACTCAGTGACAAGAATGATTTTTAAAAAATATTAAGGATGTTTAACTTATAATAAAAGTCTCATCAGTATATTAAATTTGAATTTCAGAAGTCTTTAGATATACTTTTTGCTGATGTAATAACTTGAATTCCTTTGCAATTATTAGGAGAGAATTTATTTATGAGAGAAGCAGACTTTGGAATTGTTCTAAGGCAGGTTCTAGGTATATTTCAGTTTTATGGTTAGTATTTTTTAAGCCTTATTAACAGTTGTAAATTGTTCTTGTGTTCTTATACCCTGTTCTTATTTATTAATCAAGATATGATGGACTTCTTGATAACGTACTTAATTCTACGTATTAAATAGTGTTCACCACTTGAACACTTTGCCTTTTTGTGGAAAGGGAGAGTGTGTATAAACAAAATTCTCTTTAAAGATAGAGAATTCCATTGTAGAGGTGACATAAGAAGTGTCTATGCACACTCTCCCTATTTGGCTTACATATATCGGTTTTTGTGCTTTGTTTATATTTTACCACTTTGACCATTGTTTAATACTTCGGAAACATCAATGTTCTGTTTCTCATCTGTTACGAATTGTATATAAATTGAACACCAAAGTAAATTAATCTGAATCTATAATTTAGTTTCTATTTTTTATACTACCTAATATGATTTTGACTTTTGAAAGTATGTAGCTGTTTCTGAGGTAATGATACAGAATCAGATGCTAGTGTAAGATAAGGCCTCTGAACTATGCTGTTTGTGGAGGTGCCATTTGGACAAGACAGACGTGAATGTTGTAATAATTATTCAAAGCAGCAAATATGGAACAACCTAGAGTTAAAGTATTAGGAATTTCAGGTCAACTATCCATATTGTTATGTCTGAAAAGTTGTGACATGTGTTTTGAATATAACAATCATGTTTACTTTAATTTTCTGGGTCCCATTATGACTTTGGGCAAGAGGGGAGGCACATACACCCTTATAGAAACAGCAGTTGTTGAAAAGTTGTATTATGAACTGACTTGAGTGCAACAACATGGACATTCAGATGAACTTAAACTGGATGTGCCTAAGAGAATCTCCAGCTGTTTACACAGAATGGAAACCAAGTGGCGAAGTAAAAACTGAGATTCTTATTATACTGATTCATCAAGGTACAACCAATTTAGTAATTCAGAAAATGCTTTATTTATAAACTTTTGTTTGGCAACAGCTTAAATATTGAAAGAGTTATCCTGAATGTACTGTACTCCAAGTTAGTTAACACTCAGTGTATTTTCTTTTAAGGAGTGCAAATAATGATGCAGACCAATACAGTGCATGATTATGTTTACTAATTTATTTTGATGTCTTAAGCAACAGATATTTCTGAAGTTTTTTTTTTTAATCAATTGACAAGCAGCATAGTATTATCACTATACTATTTTCTTCTTGAAGCTTTGGAACTGTATGGATGTTTTAAGTATTTGGAGGTACATACCAAGATAATCCTGGCAGACTTTGATTTGAGGACTTAGAGATGAACAAAGAGAATATTTTATAGTAAACTTATAGTATTTATAGTGAATTAATGTAAAAATACTATCTGGTGGTTATCATTAGTATGCAAGTATTTTATTGAATATCTCCATAGGTTGTATGCTTTATATTTGCAATTTATGATTGGAGCTCTAATTTTCATTGAGGGGCCAGTTTCTCTGTAAAAATTATTCTGTAAAATTAGCTCTGTAAAATTTGCTGTGGGATTTTGATTTTAGTTAATATGACTAATGAGCATTAGATTTCATTCAGTTCAAGAATTTGCTAAACAGACATGTATATCAGTGAAACATAGATGGTAAAAAAAAGTTTTTCCAGAAACTAACTTTTTTATAGCATACAGTGAACCTCACTCAGGTAGCTTTATTTCATCTTGACTGTGATAGCCTGCTTTTGTGTGCTCTGATTGTCTGCTATATAAATGACCTATTCAGACTGAGGTCCCCAAAACAATATGCAACAGCTGGTTTGCCTTTTTTTTCTTCTTCTTTTTTGAGAGTTTCAGGAAGTGTTGAGCACAGCTTTCAAAGGTCACCTGAATTTTCGATCCATCTGATGTGGTTATCAGCCCAGCCTCACTGAGACCATCGTCTCAACCCTCATTATTCACCATAAATATTTATGCACTGAAATGCATCATCACAAGTTATCTTTTTTTTTTTGGGGGGGGGGGTCCGGTTGTGGGGCCTGAACTCTGGGCCTGGGCACTGTCCCTCAGCTCTTCAGCTCAAGGCTAGCGCTCTACCACTTGAGCCACAGCGCCACTTCTGGCTTTTTTCTTTTTGCTTATGTGGTGCTGAGGATTGAACCCAGGGCCTCAGGCATGCAAGGCAGGCGCTCTACCACTGAACCACCTTCCCAGCCCTATTACAAGTTATGTTATCTCACAGTTTTTTCACCCCAGCAGTAGAGATGATTATACTTGGTGGGATTCTTGTGGAAATTAAAAACAACAATACCTTCTCTCCCCCACAACTTCTGCCACTTGAACCACACATCCAGCTTGGCTTTTTGCTGGTTATTTGGAGATGGAGTCTTGTGGATTTCTTGGCCTGGGCTGGCTTTGAACTGTGATTTTCTACATCTCAGTCTCCTGAATAGTGAGGTTTACAAGGCATGAAATCTCAATGCCCAATTCAAAACAAAACAGCAAAACATTTAAAAAGTAGTATTGTTAACATTTGAATGTGTTGCCTCCCATGAAATATGTCATACTGGGTATTTTTCTGTCTTTCTTAGAGTTTTTAACCAAAACAGTAAATAATCTCTAAGATTCTCATTTTGATGGCTTAACTAAAAACAGCTCCCCTAATGTTGGTCATTTGACATTTTTATTTTACATTTATATTATTAGAAAGGGTAAGAACTCTTAGAGGTCTTGACAGTATACCACTGTACTACTTAAAAAAATCTATTGTGTATTTCAGGAGTTTAAGGGTTTATTTATGTGTGTGTACATTAGTTCTATTATGGCTGGGTTTTTCTTTTGTGTCAGTTCTGGAGCTTGAACTTGGCCTGCGCACTGTTCTTGAGCCTTTTTTGCTCAAAGCTAGCATTTTATCACTTAAGCCACAGCCCCACTTTGGCTTTTTTTTTTTGGGTAATTAATCGGAGATGAGAGTCTTAACAGACTTTCCTGCCAGTGCTGGCTTTGAACGTGGTTTCAACCTCATAGGCATGACCCTGTGTTGCTGATTTGGGGAAAGAATTATATGTTAAGATTACTTAAAAAAATTTTTTTTAATTGTCAAAGTAATGTACAGAGGGGTTATAGTTACTTAAGTAAGGCAATAAGTACATTTGATCACTAGTGAATTACAAAAATCATGTTTGGCCATTTATATTCTTTCAGTATGCAGTTTATCATATTCTTTGCACATTTTCTTTCTGGCACATGATTTTTTCCCTTTTAATTTGTGAATTCTTAGCCTATTGGCGATTTCATTGTTTAGGAAAGCTTTAATGTTAATTTAAACAGTGGGAACTAAGAGTAAACTAATCCCCTTAGCTCACATTGAGAATGTCATGAAGCACAGAAATTGATCCCCACGGGGTTGAATATGAAGTGATACTCTTAGTGGATAAATGCCCTATGTCTGCCCTTTTGGAATGGTTATATTTTGGTATTTAGAAGAACCCCTCAATATACTGATAGCATTGAAGCAGAGCAGTTAGGTAAAAACTATTTCAGCGTTGTGAATGTAAGCCAGGCAGATAAATTTTGTGCAGTTTTAAATCTAGTTATATATTTAAAAATCATTCCAAACTTCTGATGCCCAGGTTTCATTTAGTCTGATTAATACAAAATTTTGGGGATACCATCCTTGTCATCAGCTTTTTTTTTTTTTTTTTCTTGGTCAGTAATAGGGTTTGAATTCAGCCTGGGTGCTGTCCATGAGCT